ACCTATAAGGTAACAGTGCCTTCCAATGCTGCCTAGAAAACTGTCTAGACTCACACTGGTAGAGTCTGAAAGGACCTTGCAGATCTTCTAGCACAACTCTCTTCATTTTACAGATAAGAAAAGAGACACCATCCCCCCCAGCGTGAGAGGAAGGACCTTACCCAAGATCAGCCAAATAGAGTGAGATAATGGGACTAGAACCCACATCCTCAGACTTCCAGTCCAGAGATTTTTTGGGTTTTTTCTCATTATACTATCTTGTCTCTAAGCCACCTTTTTAGAAAGGCCTGATATAGAAATTCATTTGAATCAACTCTTGAATCATTAACATGTTATTCAAGACAACCTGAGTCATAACTAAGGCAGAGGGCAAAACCTTAACCCCAAACATATTCTTACAGTGGTCTATAGATTGTTGTCCCTATACCATACATGCCTCAAAGGCATCATGGAGAGGCGGGGGAAGAACTGGTCTGGGAGAGGGCAAGGGAATGGGATCATGAATTGGGAAAGGTCAGGGGAGAAGAAGGAGGGGATAAGTTACCCCTCTTTCTACCTAGAGGGTCCTCTGTGCACCATCCCCTTCATAACTAGGGAAATATTCCTAGTTATATCTATCTCTCTATGCCTTTCAACTACTATTTCCCCTCTCCAAACCTTCCCTTGCAGCCAAATTTGTCTATTTCACTGTCCCTCAAGCACAGTATGACCTTGGTGCATAATGTACTTTGTACTTTGTCTAGTAAGATCCTAGGTTCAGACCTGAAAGTGACCTTCAAAGATATTAAGTCCAATAACCACATTTTAGAGATGAGGAAACTGAAGTCCGGAGAGGTCAAGTGTTGTCTCTCCACTCCCCCCAAAGGTTAAGTGGAAAAGTCAGGATTTGTACCCAATCTCTTTGACTCCAAAGTCAGAACTTTCCAGTGTACCACACCAGAGTTCTCTATTCCTCTCTGTCTCCTTGATTATTCTCTGCACTAAGCCATGTGCCCTGCACACAGCAGGCAACAATAAATGTCTGCTGAAGACTGAGGTGATGAAGTTGAAGTTGAAGTTGAAGTCTCACTCAAATCCTATTGAAAATCTCACAAGCCATAATGTCAAGGAGTAAATATAGATGACCAAATGCCAGCAGTGTTGTAGGTATCAAAAAATGAAAAATTAAATATTTTTTCAAAAACAGAGCAATGAACACCTTTTAACTAATAGAAGATAAGGGTCTCATACCTGACAAATTAATAAAGTATTTGTCAAGATGTGATCTGTAATGGACAAAGGTGTTGATATGAGTAAGAACATTAGAAAATTTTGCTTAATGTATCTGAAATTATAGCACACTGGATAGAGCATTGGTTTTAGAGTACAAAGACCTGGGTTCAGTTCCCATCTTTGTGCTTCATACTAGTTGTAATCGGGCAAGTCTCTTCCATTCTCTGGGCCTCAGTTTCCTCAGCTGTGAAATGAGGGGATCACATTAAATGACTTCTAAGTTCCCTTCCTGTTCTAGATCTAGGATCCTATGAAATCAAGAAATTACAGATTGTGGGATCTGCCAAGGGTATTCATCATGTGAACCAGCTATTTTGGATGGAAATGGAGAAATGAGTCTGTAGACTTAAGGTGTATACTTTAGAAGACTAGCTGAACTGTGATGGAGTAGAAAGAACTCTGAATACCTGGGTTTGAGTCCCAGTTCTGACACATACTGGGCTGTGTGACTTTGGGCAATTCATTCCCCTCTGTTTTCCCCCATCTATAAATTGATAGCTATTGGCTAAATGATCTCTTGGGTTCCCTTCCAATTCTAACTTTCTGTAATTGTCTTGGATTCCCCTTCAAGAATCTTCATTCTTCTTCAGTCTTTAAGAATCCATTGCTTATTGTCTAAAGGTGAATCAAATCAACAAGCTTTTAATTATCTAGTATGTGCCAGAGATGAGACATAGCCTTGCCTTGTTGGTTTCAGAGATAGAGTTTAAGTCTCACCTCTGAAACAACCTGGCTGTGTGACCCTTGGCATTGAACTTAGCTTCAGTGCTCCCAAAAAACTCCAAGGCATAAATGGTACAGAAGGCGTCCATCTCAATTGGCAGGAGCAGGTCCTCACATGGAGCTCCCTCCACTAATGTAATTACAAGCCCAGTTAAAAAAAAGAAAAGCAAACCAGTGCATTCATGTTATAGGCACTGAGGATAAAAATACAAAAATGAGACAGGCCCTGCCCTAGAAGAGCTTATATTCTAGAAGAAAGTCCTTTCTCATTAGGACACGAAGACCAAATCACATCGATAAAAAAACACGCGCACGCGCGCGTGTGTGTGTGTGTGTGTGTATCTTTAAGATGATGAATTTTTTTTTCTTTTTATCCCCAGAGCCTAGCACAGTACCTGCCACACAACAGACAATAAATACTTGTTGTTTGATATGTAGCCCTTGATAGTTTGAAACAATTACATTGCAATACCTCCATGTAGCCATTAAAATAATTGCATACACAGAATAGAAAGTCCTTTTCTCAGAGAGCTGAAAGAACTGACTCCCTCATGATTGTATCATTGGGTCCTATGATATGAGAAGTCATGTCAGCTAAAGAGAATATTTTCTCCCTCTGTTCATGTATCCACCTGGACCAGATGCTGCAGCTTACTGTAAATAGTAATTTCAGCCACCAGCATCCTGAGCAGCTGCTCACCTCTGCCTCACAGTCTCCTGAGCTCTCTGGCCCACAGAGATGCCTCAGGAGGCACTTGAGGCTTGGAAGCCCAAGAAAAATACCAGGGGGCTAGGTTGGTTGTCACTGAAGATCACTGCTCTGCCCACTCAATGCCACCATTTCAAAAGAATACCTATAAGAAACCTAGAGTCTAACCTTTCTCTGAGGAAAAGTAGACAGAGAGCATCTCACATCCACATGAGAGTAAAGGAGTCAGAGGAATAAGGGGCCTTTGAGAGCATTAAGTCCACCCCATCCCTCATTTTCCTGAGAAGGAAACTAACACCTGGACAGAAGTGACTTCTCCAGACTCCACTTGGGGAATAAAAAGAAGAGTTGGCTAGGAACCCAAGTCTTCTGACTTCAGAGATAGTATTCTTTCCACTACACTAACCTATTGCTTGCATCTCCCTGACTCAGCAGTGGAGACCCCTAGAATTCCCACTCAATGAGCCATTAAGAACAGATCCCTTAAATAATAATGTCTATTTATTGCCTTGTAGTAGAAGCAGAAGTCCATTCCAGGAGCCAACACTGTACTGCATGGACATTGAGTGCCCTAGCAAGATGTCTAAGTGGAATAGTGTAAGGAGGCAAAACAAAACCCTTGACAATAACCATTATACCCAAATCTTTCTTCCCACTCTATGTCCACAGTTGTCCTGAACCAGTCCCCAAAAATGCCATTAGCTCTTACAGCCGAGGTGACAGTATTCCTAGGTCATGGCATTTTGAGCTGAAAGCAACCTTAGGTATCCATATGACCTCTCAGCTGTGGCTGCTGAGTGAAGTCATGGGGACTGGAGTGATAAGGGGAAAAAAGTCTAGATCTGAGGAAGGTACTGTTCCGTTCATATTTGTACCAAATACTGACTTCACATACCTCTTTGCTGCTATAGGAAGAATTGATGTAATTTGCAGTTTGTTGACTTTCATTTTCAGATTTTTATCATCTAATTCACATGATTCATTTCATAAATGAGGAAACTGAATCCCAGAAGTTCATATAGATAAGAAGTGGCAGAATTTGGAGCAGAACCCAGGTCCTCTGACTCGAAATCCAGTGTGTTTTCCACTACACCCTCCTACACTATTCAAAGGATAATAGGGGAGGGGGGTCTCTCAGAAACAGATCAAAACCAGGATTCTGCACTCTTCCTGCCCCGTCCACCTACTCCTCTACTCTCCAAAGAATTTTGTTTGTTTGTTTCCCAAAGTCCCATACTCTTAAGCAGAAGTCTGAATTCACTTCAATTCTGCTTCAGTAGATACCACAGCCAGACATTCCTAGCCTCAGATTGCAGTTCACCAATAAAACTCTTGGAATCAAGAGTTAGATTTCCCTTCCATCTTCCCCCAAAAGAAGCTAGATCTGACTTCCACTGCCCTCTGCCACCCCCTGTCCCTAAGCGCTCTGTTTCCGACACTTGCTTTTATGTCATTTTTCCCTTTACCCTTCACAGCTTTCTTAGTGTGGAGAGAAGGAACTTGAGTGAAGAAAGCTTCCCTGTGCTCCAGGACGTTCCACTCTCAAGCCCACAGCCATAACCTGGATTGTACCTCAGATCTCACCGTTTTTACTGCCAGGACCTCGGGATTGGCTGAGTTTAGGAGCAAGTTAATTGCACATCTTTCTCCCAAGACAGATCTCTAGTTTAGTGGAAGGGCAATCTCCCCTAACCTCCTCCTCTCAGAGACTTCGCTATCCTCGCTTTCCCCCTTTCACAGTTTGCTGACTGCAGGTTGCGGCCCGCTCACAAACCTAGAATTCATACTTCCGAACCACGGGGAGGGTGGGAGAGCGGAGTAGGATAACCTTTAATGCTACGGATCAGAACCCAGGTCCGGGGGGAAAAACACTCAGGAACCTGGAGCTGCACTCTGACATAGCCTAATGAGTTCTCACTCAGCACTCCCCACTTCCCCAGTTTCCACTAGCTCTGACAGGTCCCAGATAGGGTTCTTTGTCCTGCCTGTCTGAGCTCCCCACTTTTTTGTTTTTGTTTGTTTTCTTTTTTTTTTCTTTCCTTTATGGTCTCTGTTCTCAATGCCCGTGCGTACTACTCAGTCTTTCCATAACCCTGGTTCCAATCTTTCCGTGCGCGCCTGTCCCAGTCTCTCTATCCATAGCACCATACTGAGTTCCGTTCCCCAGGGCTCTCATCGACTCCCAGTGTGCCCATGTGGCAGCAATTTCCCCTGCACCTAGTGTCCCGCATCCCCTCAACTTCCACCCGTTCGTGCTCCCACAGCAAAAGCCCCCAACATGAGCCGGGTCTCTCACCGCCACCATTCTTGTAGCAGAGGTAGGGAAAGCGCCAAACGTTGGCCAGGTCTACCGCAAAACCGATCACAGATAGGAGGAAGTCAATCTTCTTGCCCCAGGTCTCCCGGAGTTGAGAGTCCCCGCCTCGGGGCGCAAGGACGCACTGAACCCCGTTCTGCTCCTTCACCAACACCAGCTCCACAGCTTTCCGAGTGGGTTGCAGAGGTGGCGGCGGCTGCCCGGGGCCCTGGCCAGCTCCACCGCACTCTGGCTGCACCTGCGGATTCATCCGGGCAGGGAGCATGGACGCGAGCGGTATCAAACTGGACGAGCTGGGTTCGAGCTCCAGCCGGAGCCGGGGCGGGCGGTGGCTCTGCTTAGACAAAAGGGAAGGAAGGGAGGGAGGAGAGACGGGCGGTCACCGGAGCCGTTCCGCCTTGTGCGGGGACCTCCCCTCGGACAGAACTGGGTCCTGGAGATGGGGTACTGAAGGCGAGAGGTGAGGGAAACCAGGGAAAGGGACAGGGGGACCACTTCTTTTGGGGAAGTTCGGAAACAGATATCTCTGCCAACTCCGGATTAGACTGGACCCAACAGGTAAAAAGTTGGAGAGAGTGACCCAAGGTCCGTGTCCGAACAACTTCCCTGTCCCTATCCAGCAGGGGAAGAGACTCAGGGAGAAGACTTGCTAAGCCCCTTTGGTCGAAGGGCTTGTGGGGTGTCTCTGGAAGTCTCTGGGAAACCTGTGCTGAGGGTTACAGGGACAGAGACACACCGCGGGACCAAGCCGTGACTAAGTGAGGTTCGTATATGGAACGTTCAGTGATACCGTCTTCAGCCCATTCACCAAGACTCCCACAGACTCCCTCCTGCTGCAGTCCTGTCCCCGGGACCCGACCAAGCGAGAGGACCGCGCAGCTCCCTCTTGTCCGTGCCACCACTGCCTGGGAGCGCACAGCCTCTCGCACCCTTCGCTACAAGGGGCGTCACATGCACGTACTCTACTCCTCAGTTTCAAGGCCCCCAAGACCCTGGTGCTCTGTCAACCTTCCTCCTTACACTCTCACCCTCATATGTCCCCTGAATCCGCCCAAACTCATTGTCTCTGTCTGTCTCACTTTGTGTCTATGTCTCACTCTGTCTCTGTCTCTTTATCTCTGTGTTTGTCACAGTCTGTCTCTCACATGCCTAGCCTGCTCACACACATTGTGAGAAAAGTGCAAGTCTGAACCACCTCCACACCCCTAAGTCTCCAGTGTCCCGTGTTCAGTATCTGGTCTAGTGTCTGAGAGTCCGAAATTCAAAGCTGCTTACTCCTGGGGCGATGACTTGTCCGGCTTGTGCTCCCTTCTCCTGTGTTCCCAGCCCCCCGTGTCCAACTGCCCTCGAGGTCAGCGAGAGTCAGGTGGAGTCGCGGTCTCTGCCTGGTTAGCTCTGGCTGCGAAGGGCGGAGGGCAGGCTGGTAATGTAGCCTGCGCCCCCAGGTAACGCATCGATTGCATTACAAAGTTCCCAGTCCTGGCTCGGTCTGGAGCCTGTTAGAGCTAATGGAGACTGACAGCGCTGCGGCGAGATGGGGACACGGAATGGACTTCACCGGACGCAGGGAGCCCCACATCTCAGATCACACGCCAAGCAAAGTGGTAGCCACTAGTTCCTCCGCATTTCAGGGTGCCAGTGTCTCGTCCCGGTGGCTACAGGACACTGGCCCTGGCCTCGACGTCTGGCAAAATGAAATGCACAGTGAGCTGGGGGCAGGGGGGGGGGGGGCGGCGGAGATTGAATACTTGGCTGGGGTCGCTGGGACTTGAGGCCCAAGACAATCAGACACTGATCTCGTACATTAGAGCCGAGATAGGGGAAACCCCTACTTCGGAAACAGGCACTGAAGAGCAAAGGAAAGTGATCTCAGATAGAAATGTCGCCGGGGTACAGCAGGGCAGGAGGTGACATGCAAGGGACAAAGGAAAGAGAGACATGATTTAGTGTGTAGAGTGCTAGATTCATAAGAGATGCAAACATACCTTTCTTCAACCCTTTCTTCAAGTACTTACTATTGCACGTGACTATGGATAAGTCACTTAACCTTTCATAATCTCAATTTCTTCATCTGTCAGATGGGAGTGATAGTTCTTCCACCACCTGCCTCAGTAAAGATGTTATGTGGAAAGGGTTTTGCTAAACCTCTAGAGCAGGAGTTCTTAACCTGGGGCCCCCTGCTGATTTGTAGGTACATGAACTTAGACTGGGACAAATTACAACCTTATTTTCATTAACCTCTGACTGGAAATTTACATTTCAATTATTTAAATCTTTTTTTTTTCCCCTGGGAAGAGTCCATAGGTGCCAAAGCCATCCATGACACAACAAAGATTAAAATTTTGTTACAAAATGCTATTATTGTTTCTTCAATCAGACCATAGGGAATAACATTGGCCATTAACTATTATGGGGAAGGGCAAATGAGAAAGAAAAAGTGATCCAAGTGTTTTGGGAAAGGGGGAAGACAGGAGAAGCCTAGAGTACAATTTTGCCAGAGGACTCAGATATTTGATCCTTATGAATCTACACATCCAGAATCCTTTGGGTCTCTTCCATCTCTCTACTCAGGTTTTCAGTGGGGACTGGAACTCTGTTCATTGTGGAGGCCCCAAATCCCCAAAATCTCAAGTGTTATCTTTCTGTAAAATTGCAGAGTTATCCTGGGATGTTATCTCAGCACCCTCTCCAACAACCCTGTGAGGTAGATAAGGTTCCTGTTACTATCCCAATTTACAGATGGAAAGATTGATTCAGATATAAAGCCCATTGATCAAGGTTGCATGGCTAGTTAATGGTGCTTTGAGGGTTAGATAGTGGCTCTTGGTTAAATGATCTTTTTGTTATACCTGCTGAGCCTTCAGAAGCTTAGCAGGGAAGCCCTGAACTGCCATAGTTTCAGCCTAAGATTTTATATATGTAATGATTTCCTGAGGGCAGAACTGACATCTAGTTGGGGATGAAGGGGTGGTCATTTCCAGCTGGACTTTGCTCCAAGTCCCCAGGTCTGCATCTGCCCCCAGGGCCTTTGGAGCCATCTGGCTTCTCTAGAGTCTCTTCATTCCAATTCCCTCAGGACTGAAGGATGGAGGGGACTCAAATCTGAAGAATTATCTAGAGCTAATGAGATAGGGAGGGCTATGTCACTTTCAGTTACAGTGGCACTTGGTGACAGAGGTAGTAGGAAGATAAGGCTGTCCCTGTTAATGTAAAGAGGACCTGGCCTCCATTATCTTCCTTCAGAGGCTGTGATTCTAAGGGTCTGAACTGCTCTGGTCATTTAATTCTCTCAGCTTACTGGATATGGAGTCAGGGGATCTGGTTTTCTAGCCTGGTTCTACCATTGCCTGTGTGACCTTGGTTAAGTCACTTCCCCTTTTTGAGACTGTTTTCCTACCGGTTGGACTATATGATTTGTAAGATCCCTTTCAGCTCTAAATCCTGTGATTCCTTTTGGTTGAGATTAATTTAATAGAGAACCTCCAACAATGCACCTTTCCCAAAGCACAGCGGAACCTCTGAAATTCAGTCGCCTGGCCTAAAATCACAACTAAGTGGCAGCCATTAACAAATTGTTCTGGCCACCCAGATATAATCTAACTCACCTCTGCTATTTCTTCCTCTTAGGAACCCTACTGTTCTTTAAGATTCAGCTCAAGCACCACCTCTGTGTAAAGTTTTTCCTGTCACCCAGCTGCTAGTGCTCACCCTATCAATTAATCAGTCAGCATTTATTAAGCACCATATACTCATTGATGGAGATACAAAAGCAGACAAAAAAAAAGTCCTTGACCTCAAGAAGCTTACAATCTAATGAAAGAAATTACATGCAAACAAATATATGTAAAGCAAACCATGCACAGGATAAATAGAATATAACAGAAGGCACTAGAATTAGAGGAAAGCTTCCATTAAAAGATAGGATTTTATTTGAAACTTAGAGGAAGTCAGGTAGGTCAGTAGGTAGATCTGAGAAGGGAGATCATTCCAGCTATGAGGGCCAGCCAGTGAAAATGTCCAGTGCCAAAAGATGGAGTGCCTTGTTGGTGGAACAGCCAGAGGTCAGTGTCACTGTGTGTGTTTGTCAAGGCTTTGTAAGAAGACTGGAAAGGTAGGAGGGGACTAAGTTATGAAGGGCTTTGAATGCCAAACAGAGCATTTTGTATTTGATCCTGGAGTAAAAAAATAGTTACTTGAGTTTATTGGTGGAGGAAGGGTGTATCAGGAGGAATGAAGTGATCAGATCTGAACTTTAGGAAAGTCACCTTAGTGTCTGAATGGAGGATGGATTGGAGTGGGAATAGACTTGAGGAAGGCCGACCCACCGACAGTCTATTGAAATACTCCAGGCTTGAGGTGATGAGAGCCTGTATCAGAGTGGTGGCAGTGTCAGAGGAAAGAAGGGGATTTATTTGAAAGATGTTACAAAGGTGAAATAGAAAAACACATGGTTCCCAAAATATACTCATTTTCTTCTAAGGGCTTGTTTAACATCATCCCTCACCTCACCTCACATATCCAATCAGTTGCCAAATCTTGCCATTTCTACCTCTACAAAGTCACTTGCCTCTGGCCCTTTCTCTCTATAGCTATCACTCTAGTTCAGGCTCTAATCACCTCTTGCCTAGACTATTGCAATAGCCTCCCAGCGATTCTTTAAGTGCAGATCTAAGCATGTCACTCCACTACTCAATAAATTCCAGCGGCTCTCCGTTGCTGCCAGGATAAAATGTAAACAACTTGCAGGCCTTTAAAGACCATTACAACTTTACAACTTGGATCCAACCTTGATTTCCAACATCAATATATATTACTTCCCTTCCTATACTCTATGGTGCAGCCAAACTGACTTTACCTCTGTTCCTCACACATGGCTTTCCATTTCCCATCACTGTGCCTATGTACTATATATGTCACCCATGTCTGGAATGCCCATTTTTTCTGAACTACAACTAAGAGAATCTCTCACTTCCCTCAGCGTATGGCTCAAGATCCAACTTTTCTACCTGGTGTCCTTCCTAATCTCCCAGCTGCTAATGACCTCCTCCCTGACCACCTTGTATTCATTTTATACTTATTCTGTATTTGCTAACATACATGTTTTCTTCTCCCCCTAAAAAAAAGAATGTAAGCACTTTGAGAGAAGGGATTTTTGGGGTCTTAATTTCCCTAGATTATGAATATCACCTGGCAGGATAAGATACCAGACAGTCAGGTCCTTTCTCAAACTAAACTGTCAAGCATTCAAACTCTACTGCAGACATC